GTCCACACGGGAGTAAATATCACAGGTGTGAATCCACCTGCGGGCTGCTGATCTCACATTACCTTATTTTCTTCTTCACAGTGAATAAATTAGAGTCCTTGCCTATTTTTCACGTGTTCTCGGGAACAATGCTGCCCTGAGGGCTTTTTCTGTTGTCAAGTTATCTGTTTGCGTTTTAAGGTGAGCTGATGCCAGCATGTCACATGCTTGCTGGAGTCATGTGCCGATGCTAAATGCAACAAACACTACAGTGCAACTGCATAGAAGAACAAGTCATGGAAAATGCACAGAAATGATTAATAACTAAGAGAAATATCTTAAAGTTAACACAGAAGAAAGAAGAAAAACAGCATTTCTTAATCACTAATGTCTTTGCAGTTTTGAGGCTCTTTCATGTTACCTTTTCTGTATACTAAAATCTAAGCAAACCATACAATACCTTACTTTATTAACTGAATAATGCACATATTGTTCGACGTTCCTTCTACAACCCTGGCAAATCAACAACAGTGAGCACCGGTTGTTTTAACCTTTCAGTCAAGGGCTAAAAGTCCTTCTTTCATTAAATAACTTAATGACAGATAAAAACATGAGCTTTGTCTTAAAGAAAACTCCTCAGAAGTCCAAGAAGACACAGAGAACGTAGATGACGTGCTATGAAACATATTCCCTCTCACCCACCTGATGCGACAATGATCCCCGGCGCCGAGTCCCTGCTGGCTATGTTTCCAGATGTGTAGGGATTTGCAGACACGTGAAGATGCAGATGTAATGAACAGTACGGCTACAGAGGGGGGAAAAAGAGAAATCAAAAACTCAGTTATTAAAAAAAACCTCCAAAAGATGCTTCTGCGCAAAACTGCTATTTCCTCAACGTGGATCGGCAACCCTCCCAAGTCTTCGGTTTTATCACAAACACCATTTCCCCATTGACTGGCCTCACCATTAATTTTGATTGGGTTAACCTTTACAGACACAATTCTCATTACGACCCAGCAAAATGCCACTGGTGCAGGCCATGTTGTGACGGGCTGTTTAGAGGTTTATTAAAACTCTGACATTTCCTGACAAATGACTGTATAATATGGGTGGAAGGCGAGGCATGCCACTGAATCGCTAATTGGTTTATCAAAAAAGGTGATTATTTCTGTACATACAGTCGTTTCAAGAGGACATATGCGAAGGTGTGCTACAGTGACACCAACTGTCAAACTGTTGTCATCTAGCGACATGTATTAGTAGAAGGTGATTAAAGTGAGCCGTGCTCATCCGAAACTTGCACTGATGAAAAGCGTCTAACCCTCGTTCTTTGACACTATAACAGATGGCTGTAGCTCCTCCTCGACATGACGCACCTATGGCATCTAAATGAAGCATTTGTTAAACCTCACAATTAGCATTTTAACGGCTGCCACGTAGGTTCTTTTAGAGCCAGAAACCATCAGATCTGGTCCAAGGGTTGAGTTATCTGCTAGTCTATCAGTCTGATTACCATGTTGCACTGACCGGCTGCAATGGAGGGGCACAGATACCTGCTGGAAATGAGTGTAGACTAATAAAAAACGAGAATTTCACTTACTGAACTAAAGAACAATTTGGTGTGTACCACACAGTAGGTCATACTTTTCTCAGGTCACTTGATTTTAATAATCTTCTAAAAGCAATCAAACATGGTGCAGTGGTGATCAGCTCCAGTTATCAGTGATGAGCCCTGCCAGCATCAACCAGCCCTGCCGGTTGCCACTTGGTTGCTTCTTAATTAACACAATGTTGTTAAAATAACAATGTGAGCAAACTTG